CTTCTGCGGCCTTGGATCACAAGGGGCAAAACTTTTTGAGGCAATTGCGTTGTACAAAAAAGAAAGTTCATCTAACTGCTTTGGGCCTCTTGACACTTGCCCCCAGCAAAGGTGGACACCCAAACAAGCCGAGGCCGAACAACGCCAAGTCCGTGCGGAAAAAAGAAAGACACCAGCCACCGAAGGCAACTCTCTGCTTTGCCTATGGCTACCCCACAGTCCCATCGCAGGTGCCCTGCGGCTCTTCCACTCCCACAAGAGGATCACTGGAGGCGACCCCTGAGCCGTGCCAAATCAAAATCAAAATCTTTCAGGTCAGGTCCCGGCATCCCCCGAAGTGCGACGGCTGGCCTTGCTGCCCATCCACGAAAAGTGGTTCGGAACCTGCACCATTTCCGGACCTTTGAGTCTCACCCCTCCAGGTAGCACTTCTCTCTTGAAATGCAAAAAAGGGGTGCGACCATGTCGGTTCCCATGACGTGCAATGCCGCCTGGTCGCGTGTTCCGGAAGGCGCCGAGCCACACAGCGGAGCCGGACGTGGTGGAGAAAATCCTGCCAGCCAGGATGCCCTATCTTCCCCCCCTAAACATCATCCCGCCAAAAGGAAACCCACAAACCAACTGGCCCGAAAGGTGGATGTTTGAAACCACCGCAAGGAAAATATGGAAACAAACCCTGGCCCACCAAGCTCACTGTGAGTACCAGAGGAATGTCGCGTGTGCTTTGGTCTTTCAGGAAAGAATTCCCAAAACCCTTGAACCCACCCAACGGATTGATCCTTTGGCCGAAGCCCTTTTTTTGGTTCACAAGTTTGGCTTTCCTGCAAGGAGCCATTACCACTTCTAGGGTGGCTGGGTGTTTTGTCAATGAGGAAGTCTTACAAGGACAACCCATCCTACACTCCTTTTGGATCGCAGGGCCTTGTCCACTTGCATGGAATCTGAGAGAATGTGGCTAGCTTGAAGGTTGGGTGTCCGTCAAATCAGTTGGACCCGTCCAACAGCAAATGCTTCATTTCTTCACTGAAACCAGACTAGCAAAGCCCTCCAAGTTTGACACATCCTATGTTGCCAGGGTGCTCCCAGGTCTCCAAATGTAGAACACCCGAATCCGAAAGTTTCTGTTTGCAGACACAGAGAAACGGGCAACAAAGCCCGTAAGAAAATCGCCCAGGTCCATACTCCATGGTCAGGTGAGCCCGCAGAAGTGAGGGGGAGACTCGCCCAAAATCATTCGGAGAATCTGCAAACTGTCCTCGCTTCCCTTGGGCTTCTCAAGTGAGTGCTTTGACAAATCGTGGACCCCTCAAAATCATTGGTTCCTGCTGGCACTGCTGGTATCCTTTAAATGCCAGCCGAGCGGATTCCCAAAAAAAAGACGGCCATCTCCAAGTTTTGGGGGAGCAAGCCTGCTCATGGGGTGTGGTGCAAGTCGCCGCTTGCTTGCGACACACAGCGCTCTTCCCAAGTTTCAGAAGAACCGGCTTGCCTCCCTCCCGGCCCACGCCTACCCTGCTTGGGCGGCTGCTTTTTCTTCGGGCTCTCCGAGACTTTCTGCAGCTGCTCTTTCTGCCCCTTCTGCCCCTTCTGCAGCTTCTGCTTCTTCTGCTCCTTCCTTTTCTCCTCCATCATTTCTTTGCCGCCCTGTTGCTCCCCCGGCTTCTTGCGCTTCGCCATGGCAAACAAAAGCAAGATACGGGCCCGGGCGACAGACCGACAGCTTTGAAAAAAAACGTGAGGGTTGCAAATAAGGAATCCCCGAGAAAGCATCTTCTCCACGGGCAAGCCGCTTTTGTTTGGCCACTGTTCGGAGAGCTCTGGATACGGTGCAAAACACGGGTCGCACATTGAACCAAGCATCCCTTCATGCTGCCTCTCCCCAAGCATGTATTAGCTGGTATGCGTTCAGATTTTGAAAAAACCAAATTCTTCACGGCCGTCCGCCCCTGGATGGCTGAAATAGCCGAAAACACGCGAATCGGACAACTGGCGCCTCTGCCTGTTTCTGAGCGAAAAGGATGCTAGATTGGTAATAGCTCCTTGCTCTTGTCAGACATGTAGGCAGTCCCCCATGTCCCCCAGCACAAACCATAGACGACGGATGTCGCTCCCAGCCCAGCTCAGTTGCTTGTTCTTCAATTTCAAAGGCATTGAGCAAATTACATTCTATGCATCCAGCTCCCCTTTGCGTCCACTCGTGCGAAAACCCATAGCGCGGCGCTTGGCCCCTTTGGGCGGCATGACGCATCCCTGCGGCTGTATCCTCACACAGAGGATCTGGGTGAAAGAATCTCGGTGAGCTTCAGATCCTTCCGCACATCCGTGTAAGCAGCTCAGACAAGTGAGTCGTAATTCAGAAGCCGGGCACAAAGGAGGAGCCTACCGAATCAATACCATGTAAAGAATCAAAACCTCGGGCAAAAAAGCCGACATGTTCAGCTGAATGGACCTATGTCCTTTAACGCCTTTCGACTTCCCCTTATCTTATTGTTTCGTGAAATAGTCCTCCCAAGATATGTGACATGTCCAACCCACATCTTTCGACTCATTTCCGTTCATGCCCCGGCTTCCACGGCTCAACTGCCAGGGACACTCGGTGCACTGAAAAGCCAGGGATTCTGGCATTCGCACGAGAGCGCGCGACGGCAGACCAACCGAACGGGCCAGGAGTGACACTGAAAGCCCGGTGAGCTGGTCTCAAAATGGCCGTGTCCACCTTTTTCCTGGTCGAAACCAACAAACAGCCAGAGAGAAATCCCAAGATTCGAATGCCGCATCACCGGTCGACAAGAATCCCTGCCAATAATCCCCAGTCCCTGCAAACGTTTGTCTGTGCTTTCAAGCTTTTGGCCAGGGGGTGGATTCGCACGTGTTCCGCAAGCGGCACGGCGGGAAAATGCCAGTCCCACGAAGTATCCTCGCGGATTGGGTCTTTGAATCGCAAAACCAATTCGTCGTGTCAACCACATCCTATGCGTTTTGTTGACCGAAATCTTGGAGAACACACAGCTAAGCATCTGCAAGGATAAGGCTTGGGCCGTGCCTACCTCACTAGGCCCGAGGCGCCCGAAACGACACGCCCGTGTGTTGCGCTCAGACCTGAATGGGAAACGGGCCAAAAGCCCAGAGAAAACCGAAGCTTGTAGTGAAATTGTAGTGGTTCGGTGGTTTGGGGATGAAACTCTTGTTGAACCAATGTTGAACTGCACGAGCTCGTGCCCGTGTGGTCAGGTCCGCGGGCTGCCTGGCCCATATCCGGCAACACCCGGGCGAGAGTTGCGGTTGGAGAATGATTGGAAAATTTCTGGTCGGGGTGCGGGTTGAAAATTAGAAACCAGGGGAGAGGTGTCCAGGGCACCAAAAGGGACAAAAAATCCAAAGCTGAGTTTCCGACACTCACACCTCGCTGAATTCCTGGCGTCTGCTCCTTTCGGTGGCCCGGGAAGATAAATCCTCCGCCTGTTGCGTCTTCTCCGACCGTGTGGGAAGTGGAGCCTTTAGCCAGGCCGCGAAAAGGAAACGGCCGAAGGCAGCTTCTGCCGGGTCGCGCCCGTCGCGGCAAAAGACTCCACGTCCCGGACCTGCGCCCGATGGCAATACTTACGAGTGCCCGACCGTCGACTTCTAACCTGTGAAGCCGCCGGAAATCGGAGTGCAGAAAAGCATGATTCAGGGTCCCCGCGATCCACGCGCCTTCGTTCGCAAAACACCAAAACACGCGCACATAGACACAAGCACATCGAACAGCTCGAATTACATGACTTGCCAGACCGAATGGGGTGCCCTTTGGCACCAATTTTGTGTTTCCGGGAGGGCGTGTCCAAAAGAGGACACACCTAAACTCGGCTAAGCCATCGTTGGCCTCTTCCACAAAGCGCTGGTGGGGACCCTTGCTCCGTCTCTAGGCTGTGACCGACACTAATAATAGTATCCCAGTTGTCCAGTGACCCGGGAAAACAAAAAGTTCTTGGAAAGGGACAAAATCCTTTGTTGGGTCGACATGGTTGACGGTGTCCAGGTGAAAACCCGGCCAAACCATTTTCGCCCGGAATCCAACAAGTGGGGTAAGCTCAGAGTGACACCAGCCCCGGCTTCAGCATGCGCTTCACCTGATGCGCATGGGGCACGCAGCTAGAAGACCGTCGTCTTGGCCCCAGGATACTCAGTTGACGTTGGAAGGGGAGCACAAATTTAAATTTCAGTTACGTGGGGATTTCCCACTAAACCACAACAAGCAAAAATGCAAAATGTTTCCCAACAACAAGCATGGATACCCTGTCTTGGTTGATTTGCTGCATCTGTTCTCCCGTACCCGTGCCCGTACTGAATTTCTCATCCATCCGTCCGCGAAATCTAAAGAAACCATGGCTTGGTTCAAACTTACGGTTTTCCAGCCGGAGCTGCGGTGAAAAGTCCGATTTTCCAGCCGGAGCTGTGAAAGTGTACTTCGCGCTCAAAAGTTGCGCCGGAGCTGCGAAAGTTTACTTCGCGTACTACTTTCCCTAGACTTCCAAAGGACATTAAATGGCCGAGGTGGTAAAGTACATTTTCTGGGAAAAGGCAATTTGTTGCTTAAATTTGGTTGGATCATGCTTTTCACGAAAATCCCGCTTAAAAGTGGCTGGACGGGGCTGCATGGTCCCATTTTGCCGAGCTTGAGAGTGCTTCCTGCGCTTCGCACTGCCTTCTAGAAGCCAACGTCAGCCACGGGGCACGGCTCGGGAACTGTTTATTTGATATATGCATATACTGGTCCAGCATACATCCATCGATCCATGCCTATATGCGCACAAGTCTTTGATTGCCCAACTGCCAAGCCAGAAAAAAGCAACAAAGTCCTGAGAAGTCACGTGCCGCGAATTGACACCAAAATGGTGCAAAAACGTGGTGTGCAGAAAATGTCTTTTCTACGGCAATAAATGGCCGTTCTACGGCAGAAAATGTACTTTCTACGGCAGAAAATGTACTTTCCACGGGTTGTCTACGGTTTGTCCACGGTCCCTCTCGGTCGCAAGCAACGAGCAACGAGCTCAACAAATCTCTGTTTTATGACTCGACCTGATGTGAGCATCCTGATTTTGCAATGTGCTCCCCTTCTGCGGAATGAAGTTCCCCTGACTTACGCCTTCCTTTTCGTAGCGGTTTTTGCTTGCCTATGGCTTTCCCGAATGGTTTGCCTGTGGTAATTATGTCTATGATATGTCTACGGTATGGCTATGGTTTGTCTATGGTTTGTCTGTCGTGTCAATTTGCCCTGATCAGAGTACTCGAAGAAATTGAGCCCCCATAGTGGATGCAAAAAATGTCCCTTCTCGAGCAAAAAATGTCCGTTGTCCCAAGGACAGCAATTTAATGGCCGAGGAAGTTCTGGGCTTTCGTACTTAAAAGTTACGATTTTCCAGCCGGAGCTGAAAGTGTACTTCGCTTACTACTTTCATACTTAAAAGTTGCGATTTTCCAGCTGGAGCTGCCGCGGACCAGGGGGGAATTGAACCCGCGCGATTGCGAAAGCAGGCGCGCAAGCCACGAGACAACTTCCAAAGGCCGTTTCGCGAGCAAGGAAATCGCACGGCGCCACAGCGAGAGCGCAATCTCCGCAGAGGGTTCGCCGAGACTAAGACGAATTCGCACAGCACCACAGCGATCTCCGCAGAGGGCCGCGCGCGCACCGCAAGAATCGTAAAAAGTCCTCAGCTTTTTTGACATCGACCACGTGGATCTCCGCAGAGCGTCGCGCGGGCACCGCAGAAATCGTGAAAAAGTCCACAGTTTTTAACCTCGGCCATGCGGAGATTCGCGCGCGCAGATCAGAAATCGTGAGAAGTCCTCAGTTTTTTAACCTCGACCACGCGGATCTCCGCAGAGGGTCGCAATCCCGAGCGATGATCAAACTCCCACCCCGCCGCCTTAGAAACCTAAACTAACTTACATAGCTGCTTACCCCGAAGCTCTACGCAAGCTTGGCTCTTTGCCATTTGGCTCTGTGCCACTTGGCTCTGTGCCACTTGCCTCTGTGCCACTTGGCTGCGCCACCTGGCTCTGTGCAACTTGGCTCTGTGCCACTTGCCTCTGTGCCACTTGGCTGCGCCACTTGGCTCTGTGCAACTTTGGCTCTGTGCAACTTGGCGTTGTGCAACGCAATGCAACTTGGCTCTGTCCCACTTGGCTCTGTGCCACTTGGCTCTGTGCAACTTTCCTCTGTGCAACTTGGCTCTGTGCAACTTGGCTCTGTGCCACTTGGCTCTGTGCAACTTGGCTCTGTGCAACTTGGCTCTATGTAACTTGGCTCTGTGCAACTTGGCTCTATGAAACTTGTCCAAGGCCTCCGCACGGAAGAACCCTTCGCGAGAACCCTTCGCGATGCTTTCGGGAAACAACACACACACACCCAAAAAACAGAAAAGAGAGGTGGTGTCGCCGATGACACCTTGCACAAAGTGTAGGCGGCTCGCAGAGCATGTTCTGCAGGGTGTCGCTTTTGTGTATGTGTGTGTGCGTGCATGCGTGTGCGTGTGTGCGTGCGTGGGCGCTTGCGCGTGCGCGTGTGAGCGTGCGCGTGCCTGCGTGCGTGTGCGCGTGCGCGTGCGCGTGCGCGTGCGCGTGCGCGCGCGCGTGGGCGACGGGCGTGGGCGTGGGCGTCTGCGTGCGCGTGCGCGTGCGCGTGTGCCGGCGCGTGCGCGCGTGCGCGTGGGCGTGTGGGGTGGGTGCGGTGTGGTGTGGGTG